GCTCCTTAACCACTGGTTGTGGCTTGGGAGCAGGGGGCTTCCTTCTCCACCCGCACTTCTGCATCGTCGGCTGGAAGTGCTGAAGCAGGTAGTGGTTCCTCCTGTCTGGCCGGGCCAGGATCAGCAGATATGGTCTTACCGCTCCTGGTAAAAATGGCATCCAGCTGCTGGTGCTGGTGAGGATCCTGAGGATTCGGAATAGTGGTGGCAGGCAGAGTCCCCGGTGCCCTGGTAGTGTTTTGGCGGGCCAAGATACCCACCTGGTGCTGCAGATCTTGCAAAATGGCACCTTGGTTCCTCTGACCTGCCTCCAGTGAGGCTATGCTCCGGTCCAACCTCGCGACAGTTGCCTGAGTGCTAGTCATGAATGAAGCGAGAATATTTTCTAGCTTCGTTATCTGATAATCTGGAGCCGGAGCTGCTGCTGGCTCGGCAAACTGACGTTGGGGCTGCTGGAATGGTTGTCCCTGCCTAGGCTGGTAGGGCTGCTGCTGTGGGGCTGGCCCCTGTCTAACCTGGAAAGGCTGCCTCTGCTGAAAACCACCAGCTGGTGCTGGAAAACCAGGTGGTTTAGTGGTGTTACTACTCCAAGCGAAGTTGGGATGCTGGCGCCACCCCTCATTATATGTATTGCTATACGGGTCGAGGCGCCGAGCATTGGCGATGAAGTCCAACTGCTCTTGGGGAGTAGTAGACTCCCTCATAGCCTGGCAGTCTTCCACTAGGTGATTTGAGCTCTCACACCACTAACATTGAGCTACCGGAGGTGTAGCCAAACCTCTGCCCGGAATAAGACTGTTGGGCTGCTTCAATGTCTGCACTAACTCAGCTACCTGCTGCTCGAGCCCGGATCTGGTCTCCATGGCGTGCACACCATGGTCCCGGGAATGTCTGCCTCTGCTGCTCTGCCCCCAAGAATGATCTCTGGCAGCCAAGGTATTGATCATCTGGTTCAGCTCGGGTGGAGTCTTAGTAAGAATATCCCCTCCTGGGCATAGAGACTCAATCACCCTCTGGCTGTCCGGAGAGAGAGCACTGTAGAAGTTCCCCACTGTGAATGCATCACTGAAGCCATGATGGGGACACTGCCAGAAATATCCCATGTACCGCTCCCATGCATCACGAAGTGACTCATCTGGCTCTTGGCGGAAGTGAGTGATCTCCCGCTGGATCTCTGTAGTCTTCGATGCCGAATAGTACCTGTGCACGAATTTGTCAGCCAGATCGTCCCAAGAGGTGATGGACAATGGGGGCTGGGTCTCCAACCACCTCTTAGCATTCCCCGCCAGAGAATGGGGGAAAAGGTGAAGGCGGATTGCATCATCGGGGACACCATTCAGTTTGAACCCGTTCGTCAGCTGCAGAAAACGGGAAAGATGTACCCTGGCCTCCTCATCCTTCAAGCCATGGAACTGGATAGAGGATGTAATGAGCTGAATCCAGCATGGCTTGATTTCGAAGTTTTTTGCTGGAATAGGCGGGTAGAGGATGACCGGGCGGATGTCAGAATCCGTGGATTGTAGTAGTACTCCAATGTGGGACCCGGCGGCGGTGGATGATGATGAACCCCATCTGCCTGGGGTATGGGGTTGTTCCCCAGGACCTGATTCATCGGGGGAGCCTGCTGAGGATTCCCCTGGTGTGGATTGTATTCTCCGTCCATCCCGTACTCTTCCTCACAATCGCTACTTAGGTGGCCGTCTATGCGCTCTTCCGTAGCTAGTCTAGCCCGTTGTTGTCTCCGGAGTTGGCGACAGGTGCGGTCAATCTCTGGATTCAACGGCAGTAAACCTCCCGACTGGCTACGGGTCATGCACTACCTGCACACACTCAAGCAAGCAAACCCGTGAAGGCACAAGTGGGACAAAGCAAACAATGCGAAAAGAAAAGCTAAATTAACAGAAATCACTTTTCTTCAACAACCTAGCCGTCCCCGGCAACGACGCAAAAAACTTGACTCACTCCTACTGTCACTCTAAGACTTGGCCAAGTGTAACCACTTCCTAAAGTGTAGTATAACGGGTTTGGGTTTTAATGTCAACCCGGGTCCTAGATTTGATGACTACTCGGTGAATTTCTTGTTATCTAGCAATGAAACTTTAATGCAAGTCTAAACTAACAAACAAACAAAGCAAGTAAACAGTTGTTTTCAGGTTAAGAGAGGTCACCCGGATATGGTTCCCCCTAGACTGCAGTTAAGCCGGATTGCAATTACCAAGTTCAGTCTCTATGATAGTTATACTGCGGAAGGTTCTTAAAAGCCTGAAGTCTCGACTAAAGGTCTTCAGACTCTCTCAATCTGAATCTCTAGCGGGCGACTAACCTCCACCGGAGTAAACAGATTGAGGCCCTAACGAACAAAACCTCCACTACCGAAGTAAATTCGGTACAGAAAAGTGAGTTGGCTCCTCGACTAAAGTCACCAACTCCCTACCTTCAATCAAGGATGCTCTATCAACCTAGGAAGATATTCTCATTCTAGGTTAAAGCAGAAATAACAGGAATTTGATCAGGATTCATGCCATTCAATCATTCAAACCTCAATTGAATATAATCAAATCATAGAATCAGTACTTGGGTTCATACAATCAAACCTAACATACAAATCTAGGGTTCTCCATACCCAGATGAATGGGAGAACTACTCCATGGAGAAAGAAGCAAAAGCAGAATCAGACGCGGAATTCATACTGTGAAGGATGGATTCCTGCTCCTGGACGTTGATCGGCACTTCTCCAAGCTCAAGCCAAGCTCCAATGGTGATGAAGATCAAGCTAGGGCACTTGGAGACTCTTGTTCATCGCTTTCTCTCTCTAGGAATCGCTCTGTCTCTCTAAAACTCGAATCCCCTTCTGTTTTGGCTGAAATCTGCTTAAAAGGGCATCACTGGGCAAAACACGGTCGAGGGCACGGCCGTGCTTTGCTCCAGCCCGCCCGTGCTTTGCTCCAGCCCGCCCGTGCTTTGCCAAGGGTTAATTACACGGCCAACCTGTTGGGAGAAACACGGCCGTGCTTTTGTGGGACACGGCCGTGTTCTATCTCAGCCCTGCCCGTGTTTTGAGCTCGTGTTTGCCAAACTCAGATCAAGCCTCGGCAGTAAAAGCACAGTCTAGGAACACGGCCGTGTTCTGATTTAGGCGTGCCCGTGTTTTGGCTCCCGCTCGACCGAATGACTTCCGAATGCCCGAAACTCGTGCTTAGCCTTTCCTTTGACGCCTGGGACCTCAAATATGACAAAGTAGCACAACCCGGCGTAAAATAGGCCAAAAATACACGATTATGCCCCTCATATTGATAAGAACTAGGGGTGCAAATACGTGCAATTACATCGTTATAAATAAGCAAGTTCAAACATCTCCTGAGCCAGCTGCAGTACCTGAATACTACTAGACATGACATCACCTATGTAGTACAGCAGCTGTGCCAATACCAGGATTCCCCAACAACCATTCATTTCAAGGCTTTGTAGAGAGTTTTCAGGTATCTTAAGAATGCACCTGGTCAGGGTTTGTTCTATCCTAATAATTCAAGCATACAAATCACAGGTTATAGTGATTCTGATTGGGCAACATTTCCAGACACTAGAAGATCTATTACAGTTTTTTATATTCTTAGGGAATGGATTGATAAGTTGGAAAAGTAAAAAGCAGGGAACAATGTCAAGATCATCTTCTGAGGAAGAATACAGGGCTATGTCCCATATCAGTTGTGAGATACAGTGGTTGGTAAGATTGCTTAATGATTTTGGCATTGATCATTCTCATCTTGCAGTTCTGTTTTGTGATAATCAGCCTGCAATTCACATTGCTAGGAACCCTGTGTTCCATGAAAGAACGAAACACATTGAGGTCGATTGTCATGTCATTCGAGAGAGGGTGATCAGTGGTTTAATTAGTTTACATCACTTGTCTACCACTCACCAAATTGCAGACCTGTTTACAAAGAGCTTGGGGATTGACCGTTTCAGGATGTTGTTGCACAAGCTGGGAGTGTTAGAAGACACTCGCCAGCTTGAGGGGGCGTAATGAAGAACAGGTCAATTCCTTATCACACTAGCAGCAGCTTGTTCTTCATTAGAGCCCATGATGCAGAGCTGCTGCAGAATGGCTGCATGCCAATCCGGAACGACGTCGTTCTTCATTCATTCGAAGTCAGCAAGGAGACTTGGTCTGTTGATCTAGAATGTTGTCGTTCCAATTAGCAACTGTAAATAGTTTACTGCAAGACATGTGTACAAGTCCTATTGGTTAGGTTAATTGTTAGTTTTCCGTTTTTACTGTAAAGTAGTCGTTTATGTTTTTCCTTTTCTCTATAAATACACTCTGCAGTATAAATGGAAGTGAGAAAACAAAGGCTCTCTATTGAGAACCCTTCACCAAAAAACCTAGTATCTATTTTCTTCTCATTCAGCTCCAATTGTGGGCTCCAGATGCTCGTTCAAGTAAAGGGACAGAGTTGGAGAAATAAAAGATGTCAACAGGTATTGATAAGCACCTTCAGCTCTTATCAAGAAAAGACGATTGATGGATCGGAGTCAAACCAGCCCCTGGACAATCCCTCCACTCTAGATGTTAGTTGCAGAAACGACGATCGATGGCTCGAGAACTATTGCGATTCGCCCATGGATCCCGGTTGTGGTAGCGGCCGGATTTTGGAGAGAGTCTTAGAGCTGCAGACAGAGTGATGAACTATGGTATATGTAACGGTTAGAAAGCGTCAATGCAACGCTAAATGCTTTTAGTTTTTGGGAAACGAAGCACAGAAAAGCAGATCGAAGGATCCATGGTGGCATTCATTCTAAATTCAGCCAACCGCCAAGTAAATTGACGGAGGAAAATCAGAAGTGTCGGAGGGCCGGAGGGGGAAACCCGATATGGGTAACGGAAGGTGAGGATGTAGAGATTACACAGAGTGAGTCTGTCTTTCCGCTTATAGAGAAGGCCCAATTAGGGCCCAAATGAGTAAAAGGATAGCCCGGCTCACACAACAATGGAAGGCTTGCAACGTGTCGTGTGTGTATTAAAACGCACAACAACATTAAGTTGGGGTGGAATTGTCAAAGATAACCTTCCATGAAACACTCTCCTGCCAGCAAATTCAAAATGCTGAAAAATGGAGTCATGAATCTCCATTATATATTTTATAGAAGATAGAAGATGTGAATGCGTCGTCTTGTGCAACTGAAGGTAATTTACTGATTTCGCCCTTTATTTAATTGAGAAACACCCAGGAAGAAGAAAAACAGTTACACGTTACACAAACCACATTCGTAAACTAATTAGCACCCGATGGGCTCCGTTAACTAAAACAACAGATGGGCCGAATGAAGCAACCCACACAAACCATTAAAGAACCCGGCCCATCTCATCCCAGCCCACCCCGAGAACTGCCCAAACCCACAAACCAAACACCGACATCACCACCGCCGCTCATTTACCAAGATGGCCCGAGAGAGAATTCGCCAAGGCAGTAATAGTTGTCGGAGAAACCCCGCGCGACCCGCCGAGATACCATTTCTGAATCGTCTCCGCCACGTTCCTGTTCTCCACCGCCAGCCTCGTCTCCTCCTTTCCCTCCGCCGTGAACCCGATCTCCAGCGGCTTCCCCGCCACCGGAAAATGGAAATTGACGACGGATCCCTTCTTGAAATACTTGGACTGGAAGAATTCGGCCACTTTCTCCAGCGCCGATTCCTCCTCGTCCTCGTACTTGTCCACCTCCGACAGCCGGTCCCTCACTGCGCTCTCTAGCTGGACCCCGTATTGCGACCCTTTGATCTCCTTGATCACAACCACGCGGATCAGCTTCTCCGCCGGCGCCGACGCCACCGCCTCGAAGAATTCGTCGTTTTCCTCCAATTCCTTCCCCGATTTACCCTTCCACTGCTGCAGAGCCGAAACGACGTCGTTCGGGTCAAAGTAGACTCCGATTGCGGTAAACTTAATCTGGAGGAAGTGTATCTCGATGTCCGTGATTCCTGAATTCTCCCAATTCAATTAAAAAATGACAAAAAAAAAATCAGATTAGAGAGGATACGAAATTCAAGATGACGCAAAAGTTTGTTACGAAGCTGGAAGCTCAATCAGGAGAGCGTTATCCGCGTGAGATTTAAGAACAAAGAAGGATGATGAATGCGTTACCGTGGGCAACTAAAGGGAGGGGTTTGGCAGAGGGAGTGATCTGCGAAGGGAGGGTGATATCTTCCTCTATTACGACCAGAGATGGTTCATTTGGTGTGCTACCCATGATTTCTTGCTGCACAGATCGACGGAAGGAAGAACAGTGGAGACGGTTTTCTGTAGGAATGTTAAAGTGGGAAGAAGGGTTTTTTTGTGCTTATATGAAAGTGGCGGGTAGGTAGCTATAGAGGTGTGATTGTGAGGTGAGAAGAGGAGAGAAGGTTGGTTGTTGGGAGCAATGAATTTTGAGCCAGTGAAAATATCAAGAAGTTGGTTTGCAGAACAACAAGTTACAAGTGTGTGATTAGGGTTAATTAATTATCATGGTTAGCTTTGTTAAGTGAGAAACAAAGGGTTGGTATTATGTGTTTGTAATATGGTTTTAGCTAGCTACCAAACTTTCAAAGGCTAACTAACCCTCTTTCGATGTGCGGTGCATACTCCTCCGTGTCCAAGGATTGCTCGGCGAGTTAGGTAGGAAGGATGGAACACCGTGGCAGTTGGAACTTGGAAGGCAACTAACACTTTTCTTTTTTTTTTTTTTTTGGAAGGAAACGTCTAAAATTTGTGTTGACCGTTATCTAAAAATAACTCGTGGAGATTTGAATTTTGTCCAATCAAATATGGTTAAGATTTCAGGTAGTGGTTTGGATTAGTAAACACCGGCTAACTCGTGTTTCTTTTTACCTTTTCCTTTTTTTTACGATTTCTTTTCTAATAAATATTTTAAAATTCTTATAAACCAACATAATTTATATTTACTCTTCTTAAATGCGAAAATTAAAAAAAAAACAAAGCTATTTTTTGTAATTTGTAAATCACCAATAATAATACTGTTAATTGTCCTGAGGTTTCGGATGCGGTTCAGTGTGGAACGTCTGGTGTGCATTCATGTGTGTCGATATGCTACCAGCCACACATCTCAACTACCCCACTCCATTCCATTGTATCTGTATCTGTACGTAGCTCTGTAAGGATCTCTATAATAAATGTAGTCTCTCTCCACAAAGCAAATACTTCACTTCTCTTCTTCTACTAACCTGGAGTTGGGTAACGAATGCTACTGTTGGGTTGATGGAGTAGCGGATTGGGGAGGTGGATCCGTAGTTGTGGAGTCGGATTGCAGGAAGATTATTCATTTGCTTAAGCATGCAAAGATCTGTAGAACTGAAGTGGGCAGTGTGTGTGAAGACATTTTGAGGTTGGTTGAGAATCTGGACATTAGAGACTGGTTGTTTACCTACAGGGAGGCGAATAGTGTGGCTCATCAGTTGGCTCATTTTACTTCTAGTTCTGAGGAAGTGATGTTTTGGAACAATTCTTATCCATGTATTATTGCTGATGCTGTAGCCCTTGAGGCAACCTTGTCTTAACTTAATGAAATCCAAATCAGCTTTCCCCTAAAAAAAAAAAAAGAGTAGGGTGTGATGAAAATTGCTTCGATCCGGCCTTGATCTGCCCTTAACCATGTTTTACCCACCACTGAAGGGTCAATATGTATAATTGACCTGCCTTGTTTATGTTTACTTCTTGACTATGTCTGATTATTTAGGGTTGGGGCGGGTCGGCCCTAATCAACACACTACTTTTCAAAAAATTATAATTTGGTACCAAACTTCTTTTCTTACAACTTAGTACTTAAATTTTATTTTTTGTACAAATAATTCCATAAACGTTGATGGTAAAATTAAATTTTGGTATTCCATTTTTTTTTTTACAAATTAGTACCTAAACTTTTACAAATTTATAAAAAAAATCCAATATGTTGCTATCAGAAATTTATTATTACTAAGGGTCAGAGGGTCAAAAGTGACTCTACCCTTACAGGGTCAAAAGCTTACTAGACTCTAAGCTGACCCTGACACCCTGTAGACAAACTGACCCGCCCCGACCCTCAGTGCATTTTTAGGGTCTAACTTACAGCCCTACTTGTATGATTCATGCATGGCGGTGCATGGCGCACGGGATGGTGGTGAAAGTGGTGATTCTTTGGGACGTCAAGAACAAGATGCGGCAAAGGGGAGGTTGGCTAGGGAGGAGAGTAATTTGGTTGGTTCTGATGTTATTGGTTCTGATGTTATTGTTTCGGCATATAGTTCAAATCCTTCTACTTTTAGTTCAGTTTGGGAATTATGGCATAATAGGCTCGGTCACCCACATTCAGGACGGCTAAAGACTATGTTTAAGCATAATTTGTTACCGGATAAGATGGATTTGTTAAAATTCGATGGTATTTCAGATTGTGTGAGTTGTCTAGAAGCTAAAGCTTCTCAGTCCTCTTTTTCGGCTAGTGAGACTGTGTATGAGGAACAATTTGATTTGGTTCATACGGATCTCTGGGGACCCTCTCCGGTTAATTCGAGGTTGGGGTATCGATATTTCGCACTGTTTATAGATCATCACACTCGATTTACTTGGGTATATTTTCTTAAACAGAAATCTGAATTAACTGTGGTGGCTAAGGAGTTTCTGCAGATGGTTAAGACTCAGTTTGGGAAGACGGTGAAGGTGCTTCGGTCAGACCCGGGAGGAGAGTTCATGGCAAATGAACTTCTTGTTCTTTTTAAGACAGAGGGCATTCTTCCACAACAGTCATGTCCAGGTGTCTCTCAGCAAAATGGGGTTGTCGAACGGAAAAATCGACATGTGCTGGAGTTGACTAGAGCTATCTTGTTTTTCTCTCGAGTTCCGACAGGTTTCTGGGTGGAAGCTGTTCATACCATTGTTTATCTTATTAATCGTCAGATCACGCCTATTTTAGAATAGAAGTCTCCGTATCAGATGCTGTACTCGAAATTGCCTAATTACTCTTTTCTACGAGTTTTTGGCAGTACATGTTTTGTTCTTCTACAGCGAAAGGAACGGCATAAACTTGCTTCTAAAGTAGCTCGCTGTGTTTTCATGGGGTATAGTGACAAGCATAAAGGTTACTTCTGTTACGATCCTTCATCTCGGCGTATGCGTATAGCATATCATGTGAAATTCTTGGAGCATCACATGTATTATCACTCTTCCCCAGCCGAGGCCAGTACAGCAGAAGAACTAAAATTTCTTGTAAATTGGCCAAGTTTTGAATCCCCATCGTCACTCTCTTCTCCACATATGACTACTGCTACTTCTTCAGGGGACGAGAGTGAAAGTGACCAGCCTACTCCTGTTCACACTCCGAGCTCGTCCGAGTCTTCAAGCTCCTCGTCCGGGTCGCCCAGCTCCTCCTCAACGTCCAGTTCCTCCTCCAATTCATCGGGTCCATCTAGTCTCTTGGATTCTTCTTCTGGTGCGTCCTCAGCTTCGGAAAGTCCTCATCAATCCCCGGTTCAGCCGGTGATACCCTTACGACGCTCAAATAGGGCGACGTTGGGGAAGCCTCCTGCCCGAATGAGTGACTTTTATGGTTATTCGGCAGCTCCAGTTTTTACTCCACGATCCTATGCTCAAGCAACACGTGACCCTCGGTGGAACTCCGCTATGCGAGTGGAAATGGATGCGCTTGAGGAAAATCATATGTGGGATCTTGTACCACGACTTGATGGGATGTCAGTTATTGGATGTCGATGGGTGTATACGATCAAAATGCACCCCGATGGTTCTATCGATAAATTTAAGGCTCGTCTTGTGGCACAAGAATTTAAACAGGAATATGGCATCGACTATGATGAGACATTTGCCCCTGTAGTGAAGATGCAGACAGTACGCAGTGTGTTTGCTGTAGCGGCAATGAAGAACTGGCCATTATTTCAGTTGGACGTAAAGAATGCTTTCCTTCATGGAGACTTGAAGGAGACTATATATATGGAACGTCCTCCTGGTTATGCAAAGGTGATTCATCTATGGTTTGCAAACTGGTTCGATCTCTGTATGGTCTTAACAGGCGCCTCGTGCCTGGTTTGAGAAATTCCATGGTACTTTAATTCAGGCTGGCTTCTCACAGAGTCATAATGATCCCTCTCTCTTCACTCGGCATACTGTTGATGGTGTAGTGGTTCTTCTTGTGTATGTCGATGATATGATCATCACAGGAAGTGATAAGGAAGGTATAAGAGAGGTCACGGCAACTTTGCGGAATGCGTTCAATCTAAAGGAGATGGGGGAGGTATCTTACTTTCTTGGCTTGGAGGTAAGTCGGTCACCTCATGGTTTATTTGTCTCACAACGGAAGTATATTTTAGATCTCCTTGAGTCCGCAGGTTTCGGTGAGTGTGTTCCGTGTTCCACCCCGATGGAGCAAAACCTCAAGTTAAGTCGTGATCAAGGGGAAGTTTTAACTGACCAATCACAATACAGGAGCTTGGTTGGAAGTCTCATTTACTTGACTCACACTCGTCCCGATATTTCGTATGCGGTTCAGGTGGTAAGTCAATTTATGGGGGTTGCTACGAATTTGCATTTGGCAGCTGTTCACCGATTGTTGAGGTACTTGAAGCAGACAGAAGATGTTGGGATGTTCTTCCCTCCGAGGGAGAACCTGAGGTGGAAGCTTTTGCTGATGCGGATTATGCAGGTTGTGTTGATACTAGGCGATCTACCTCAGGCTGGTGCATTCGAGTGGGAAAGTCTTTTGTGTCTTGGCGGTGCCGTAAGCAGGATAAAGTCTCGAAGTCATCCACTGAAGCTGAGTACCGTTCGATGTCCGAAGTTAGCTCGGAGCTAGTGTGGATCTGTCGGCTCCTGGAAGAGTTGGGGGTAACCTGTCGAGTTCCGATGCACCTATATGGAGATAACACCAGTGCTATCCAGATTGCAATTAATCCGGTAATGCATGACAGGACGAAGCACATTGAAGTTCACGTCCATTATATTAGACAGTTAGTGGCTGAAGGATTGATACAGATTGGTTATTTGTCGACCGAAGACCAGACTGCAGACTTGTTGACAAAGTCGGTGTCTTCTAGTCGTCATTGGTACTTATCCTCCAAATTGATGTTGCGAACTGCACATCAATTTGAGGGAGGGTGTTAAAGATATTTGTGTAGGTATCAATTTGTAATTAGCCATATTAGTCTAATGTAATTAGGTTTAGGGTTATCTCCTATAAAAGGGTTCGGCTGACCCTCCCGTGTACGATGAACGAGCATAGTGAAAACTCTTGAAGAGCACAGCCTCTTCCGTGGATTAGTCCTGTTCATCAGGGATACCACGTTAAATCTCGTGTGTTCTTTATTGTGTTCTTAATTATTTACAATATGACGTGTTATTATTGTGATTTTTCGTCATATGAAGGATTATAAGTTGCTAAACCAAGTTTCTCACATAATGATTAAATCTAGGATGTCAATTTTTTATGAACATATATTTATATAAGAAGGATTCTATCATTGGTCTTCAATTTAAACGTCCCAAATCCAAATCCCTTTAGTACCAACTAACAAACTTAATTGTCATTGAGATAACTCCAATGTCGCGAAGGGGTCAAATCTCCTTGAAAATTTTGCAAATCACGTATACGCACTTTGGCAATATTGAAACTTAGGTCACACAATTCGTGGGCCCAAAGGCCCACGCTCCCGCTCCAAAGCACAAATCCGCGATTTATCAAAAATTCGTTCCAAATTCGCAAATTTTCAGATTTCAGAGTGCAACTTATTCTGTAAAAAACGCGATCTCTTTTTGCTTACGAAATCTTGAACTTTTCCAACCAAAACCAAAGCATTAACGAGTGACGACAATCAAACTTCAACTATTCTTGTGCAAATCACCGTAACACAAAACAATTCAGGACCAAAGCACAATTGCAGCCAGAAAACGGCGGCTATTCTTCAAAAGAGAAAGGTACGGTAGAGATGTAGACAGTAGATACAGGGAGAAATCATTTTAAACTGGAGAACGGCGTTCAAGATCTCAAAAATCTTGAAGATTTGAACCAGCTGCTGAAGAAGCGCCTTCCTGCCGTCGATTCACCAGGACTACAAATTTTTAACCATCTCGAGGATTGTAAATCCAACAAATCACAAGGCCAATAACTAGATAAGAGGCGATTCATTAGAAGAGGTTTGACAAGTGACCACTCATCTGAAATTTTATAGATTTACTTGACAATTTCTGTGTAGGAATTTCAAAATTTTGGGATGAAGGGGAAGAAGAAGATAGAGTGCAGAAGAGAGAGAGAGAGAGAGAGAGAATAGGAAGAAGAGATAATTAAGAAGAAGGTGAAGTGTTGAACGTGAGGAGGAAATCATTCGAAAAAAATCCCAAAATACACATATTTTTAAATTTTTTCCAAAATACACGTTATAAAAAAAACTTCTCAAAATACACATGTTTGTGCATCACCGCTGTTGTCAGCCGCATTTAATGCATTCACCGCGGCAGTTCAAAGCAGTGAATGCATCACCGTGGTTGACGGT